GTCTCTTCTCATGTCATTCGCATTAGCCAGACTGTCTCTTCTGATGTCATTTACATTAATTCTTCTGTCTCTTCTCATGTCTTTTACATTAATTCTGCTTTCTTTTCTTATGTGATTTACATTAGCCAGACTGTCTTTTCCCATATCATTTACATTTACTCTGCTGTCCTTTCTCTTGTCATTTACATTTACTCTACTGTCTCTTCTCATGTCATTTATATTTACTCTGCTGTCCTTTCTCATGTCATTTACATTTACTCTGCTGTCTCTTCTCATACTAGTGGGCTTGTCATCTAGTCTTCGGATAGAACCATCTTGTAGTGTTGTGTATCTGCTGTTGCCTGCTCTTAGGGACAAAGATCCGTTGTCAGTATGGAGTTGTACATCGTGGATTTCCAAGTCGTTGCCGTGGGTATCAATCCGGCACATGTCTTCCAACTTTGCCTGATCTTGGTTTGGTGCAGCCAGTCCATCAAATGCTTCGCATGTCTTGTGCTGTGTTAGATAACGATATTATATTATAATATAAAACGTTGATAAGACAAGTTTTTGTGTTTGGCTCTGAAACTTGCAGCACAACTAAAAGAGATGAAGCCTTATTACAGATTTTTAAAAACTGAGTCTTAGGACGAATGTTTGGACCTTAAAATGCACACAGCGGGAATGGAGAGTGAAAAGCAACAACAAAATTTATAATTTGTTTAAATTACCATTTATCACTGGCATAATGAGTTCTAATAGACTAAAATGGTTGGGGCATATTGAGAAAATCTCAGATGACAGAGAGGTAAAAACTGTGTACACAAGGGAGCTAAATGGTCGTAGCCATGAGGCCGACTATAAAGACGATGGAGAGATAATGTCAGCACAAACCTACAAACAATTGGTGTCACCAACTGGAAAGAGAAGGTTAACCAGAGAGGTGAGTGGAGGCGGGTGACATCTGCTGCAATAAACCTCAAGGGCTCGGATTGCTGAAGAAGAAGAAGTTTTCCCATTATGTATTTAAATAAATAGGACACCAAATTATGCTGCACAATTTATTGCCCGGTATATAAAGTTGGCTGGAGCAGCCGTTGTGTAGCGGCTAGACGCTTGTCACCGAAGGTGGTGGGTTCAAGTCCTGACAGAGCTGGAATTTTTTCAAAAATGACTTTGGCTCCCAGGTTGGCTCAGTCTTAAATGTTCTTCCAGCCTTAAAGGCGTACTAGGTAAAGTCCTGGAAAGACAAGGCGGTCGGCGTCGGCGTCATTTTAAGGGCATCACCCACCGATTATCGAAAGGTCTAGACAATAGAATATATAAGTTTAGCATTATAACTCAGTAGGCCTAAAGGCGTGGAAAAGGGTCGTTTGCTTATATCAAGTTGCAACATGATCTTGGTTCCTAGCTCTGCCTAGTTCCAAAGGGGAGCCTGGACCAGTTCTGGGAAGTAAAGGCGAGCGGGGAGTGGTTATGACCACATCACCCACCAAGGTGCATTTTAGTCTGTAAAAATACGAGCCTAGTATGGTAAAGCCCATAGGCTAGGGAATAAAGGTTGAATGACAGACAGACAGACAAACAGACAGACAGACATTAGATAGATAGATAGATAGATAGATAGATAGATAGATAGATAGATAGATAGATAGATAGATAGATAGATAGATAGATAGATAGATAGATAGATAGATAGATAGATAGATAGATAGATAGATAGATAGATAGATAGATAGATAGATAGATAGATAGATAGATAGATAGATAGATAGATAGATAGATAGATAGATAGATAGATAGATAGATAGATAGATATAGATAGATAGATAGATAGATAGATAGATAGATAGATAGATAGATAGATAGATCGATAGATAGATAGATAGATAGATAGATAGATAGATAGATAGATAGATAGATAGATGATAGATAGATAGATAGATAGATAGATAGATAGATAGATATAGATAGATAGATAGATAGATAGATAGATAGATAGATAGATAGATCGATCGATAGATAGATAGATAGATAGATAGATAGATAGATAGATAGATAGATAGATAGATAGATAGATAGATAGATAGTATATATAGATAGATAGATAGATAGATAGATAGATAGATAGATAGATAGATAGATAGATAGATAGATAGATAGATAGATAGATAGATAGATAGATAGATAGATAGATAGATAGATAGATAGATAGATAGATAGATAGATAGATAGATAGATAGATAGAGAGGGGTGGGGGCAGACGAACTTTTAAAAGTCCGGTTAAAACCGGCATTATCAATATGGGAACTCTTCGCTGGTTGCCGAGCATGGGAACCACTCCCTTATGTACATTTCCTGAACACACCAATGTCAGTTTTTGACTTGTTGATTCCTTTATTGTCTGGCATATTCCGTGGTATCTCGCCAAAGACTGCCGTTGGTAAGATCTACAGTGTAACAATAGACAACCTGCTTTATGTGTTTTGGTTGAAAGGATCCATTTGTGTGACTGATTATAATGTAATGGAGCGGTTCTCAACGTGCCGGTCGCGACTATTTTTGGGGTCGAATACCCTTTCACAGGGATCGCCTAAGACCATTGGAAAACACAAATTCATTGAAGTTATGAACGAAAATAATTGTTTAGGGGTTGCCACAAGATGAGGGAACTGTATTAAAGGGTCATGGCATTAGGAAGGTTGAGAGCCACTGATGTAAAGTAATAGACCTTTTTCCACGCGGTCATGCGTAGTGGGCATATAGGGCTAGACCTATATTTAGAGACCAATCGGCTATTGGTGGGTGATGTGGTCAACATCACGCCGGTCGCCTTTATACCCATGACATTACCTGGTACTCATTTAAGGCCGGGTCGACCTAGAAACCCAGGTTTTATATGCAATATATCGAAATATATTTTGTTTCGTGGTTATTCAGATCAGTAAATCCTATTTGGTTGTCTGCGAACCCTGGCGATTAGAGAAACACATTTAAGAGGTCCCTGATATCACACATTAACCACCCATTTCCTTTTTATTCTTCTAATGTAAAGTTACAGTTAGTTGCGTATCCTTTACAGGACATTGCAGAACCAACCCCAGCTCCCCCCCCCCCCCCCGGCTGTTGTGGTTGTTTGTAGGCAAATTTACGTTCAGTAGTTTGCCATTGCCTACTGGACGGTCGGCTTCTCGATATCACTGTCAAAACCAATGCAAGGCGCAAAGCCAGCACCTGGAATCGAACCCAGCACCACGGCATTACGAAGTGCGTTCGCAACGTCTTCGCCACATACATCCTAATATACATTAACTTTAAAAAATATATTAAAATGTATGAGCTCTATGGCACATCTTGGGGTGGAGGGGGTGGGGGTGGATCCGAAGGATGTTTTTAAAAATTATTCATAAAGCAGATCCTGCTGTTCGATATAAGAGGTGAAATAATCAGTTTCCATCCTTATATCGTTCTCTCATTCTCCTCTTCTTTCACAGGCTGTAAAGTTCAACAGAAAGTTCACGTTCTGGATCATTAGGACTATGGTCTTCTTCCAGAACTTCTGCTGTGTGTGTATACCCGTTGTACAGATCTGGCGTATTTGTAGCCAGAATTATTGTTCCTAGCCACTTAGACATATACATTCTAAATAGTCTCACTTTTTATAATTTTAGCAACGGACGTTAAACTCTTTAGTTAGTAAAGTAAAGTAAAGACTGTTGATTCGGCCTTCTTGATTTGAAGATTATTTGGGGCAAAGATACTGTAACCAGCGGACTGAATGAAATACGTTCACTACTCCGTTTGGGCTCGGGATCCGGGTTTAGGTGGAAAAAAAGGATAGAGACCTACAGCCCTTAAAATGCATGTCGTAAAAAAGTGATTACCTAGAAATGTGCTGAAATAGGATGTGCTGAGAAGGGCAAATATCGCAGCTTTGCTGCAAACCACAGCATTATCTGCCAAACGCTCCTTCAAAAGCGAACACAAAAGTAGTAGTAGTAGCAGCAGTAGTAGTAGTAGTAGTAGTAGTAGTAGTAGTAGTAGTAGTAGTAGTAGTAGTAGTAGTAGTAGTAGTAGTAGTAGTAGTAGTAGTAGTAGTAGTAGTAGTAGTAGTAGTGGCAGTAGTAGTAGTAGTGGTAGTAGTAGTAGTAGTAGTAGTAGTAGTAGTAGTAGTAGTAGTAGTAGTAGTAGTAGTAGTAGTAGTAGTAGTAGTAGTAGTAGTAGTAGTAGTAGTTGTAGTAGAAGAAGAAGAAGAAGAAGAAGAAGAAGAAGAAGAAGAAGAAGAAGAAGAAGAAGAAGAAGAAGAAGAAGAAGAAGAAGGAAGGAAGAAGAAGAAGAAGAAGAAGAAGAAGAAGAAGAAGAAGAAGAGAAGAAGAGAAAAGAAGAGAGAAGAAGAAGAAGAGGAGGAAGAAGAGAAGAAGAAGAAGAAGAAGAAGAAGAAGAAGAAGAAGAAGAAGAAGAAGAAGAAGAAGAATAAGAAAAAAGAAGAAGAAGAGAAGAAGAAGAAGAAGAAAGAAGAAGAAGAAGAAGAAGAAGAGAAGAAGAGAGAAGAAGAAGAAGAGAAAGAAGAAGAAGAAGAAGAAGAAGAAGAAGAAGAAGAAAGAAAAGAAGAAGAAGAAGAAGAAGAAGAAGAAGAAGAAGAAGAAGAAGAAGAAGAAGAAGAAGAAGAAGAAGAAGAAGAAGAAGAAGAAGAAGAAGAAGAAGAAGAAGAAGAAGAAGAAGAAGAAGAAGAAGAAGAAGAAGAAGAAGAAGAAGAAGAGGAGGAGGAAGAAGAAGAGGAGGAGGAAGAAGAAGAAGAAGAAGAAGAAGAAGAAGAAGAAGAAGAAGAAGAAGAAGAAGAAGAAGAAGAAGAAGAAGAAGAAGAATAAGAAGAAGAAGAAGAAGAAGAAGAAGAAGAAGAAGAAAGAAAAAGAAGAAGAAGAAGAAAAAAGAAAAAGAAGAAGAAGACGAAGAAGAAGACAAAGAAGTATATACTCTGTATGCGTAAGAAAAGGTAACAATAGATGTGCAGTTATTACTACCTTGATATTGTGGAGGTGTGCGGCGTGCGACTCCGTCATGGCGGGAACAAGCTGGGCGGCAGACGGCAGATGTTGAGACCTGGCCCCATGGATCAGTATGAGGAGATATGAAACCATCAGGAAGAAGGACGCTGTCTTCCTCATGCTTGTGTCTCCTTGAGCTGAACATATTACCAGTCAATAATTTAAAAAAAGTTTCACCGTCTTCTCTCTACAGGATTCAAGTCTTTAAGATTTTCATCTCAAGGATGAGAATCATACATGTAAAAACGCCAAAACACTGTTCAACCGTACAGCCAAATAAAGTACCCTTTTACACGCCTGCAGGCGTATTGGGCATATAAGGCTTGATCTATATTAAATAGACCAATCGGCACTCGCTGAGTGATATTGTAAACATCATGCCGGGCGCCTTTACTTTGCAGGTCTTTACCTGACACCCATTTAAGATTGTGTAAACCTGGAGAAGTCTGGTTTTGTTCGGATTCTAATCCACGACCGTCGGTCCAGGAGGCGAGTTTCTAGCCGCTACAACACGGCTGCTCCCTATAGCCAGACAAAACTGTTAACAAAATAATATGTAGCCCACTGTGGATGGGTCTTGATGTGATAATGTTTTAGAGCCAACAACGAGAAACTTTTTTCTTTATGAGCTCTTTTGTCTTGCCCGTTGAGTTTTCTAGTTACAGTTTGTGTTATATTTAGTACTCCGTTGACAAAGACTTTGGTCAAAACGTTCAGTTGTGTTTGTGTGCGTCTTTTCTAATCCACCTGATAAGCTTTCTTTAGCGTTTCTTTTTCATGTCAATGAGAACAATTTATTGATTTTGTTTGTATGATTGTTAATTTGTTGTTTTTAAATCTTTGGTTTTTTCTTCTTTTTTTTTTCAGACAAGAAAAACAGGACCTTTTTATGCACTTAGGCGCACTTGGTATATGGTGCTAGACAGTACGTTTTATAGACCAGTAGACACTTGACTGATGATAAAGCCCACTTAGCTTCCAATGCTATTTATGATATCCATGTCATACAGTGTTTGTCCTTAAAATACAGCTCAAACGGTTTTGAACACAATAGCTCCAGGACGGAAGGCAAGAGTCATGCCACTTTATCATTTATCTTCTTATTTCAGTTCCACAAAATAATGAGAACAGCTGGCGCATAATTTATTTTCTAATTTTTATGTTGAAATGGACTTCTTTTTTTTTTGGGGGGGGGGGGGGGGGGGGGGGGTTCAATCTACAGTGCATTAAAAAGAAGATACAAACGTTCTGGGTAGTTGTATTATATATATCGTCATCCCCCTTTGAGGGATACTACTACGATTTGGGCAGTGTTGAAGTCTGCCTGCATCTGCTTAAAATGCGATAAACCAACAACCTGTATACAAGTAGACAGGTAGGTAAAGTGGGTGTGTACGTAAAAGCCGAAGTAGTTAAGGATTGGCCTGAAGTATAGAAGTGCACGAACAACCGTAACTTTACACCTAAGTTTGCAGTCGTTGAATATTAAGAAGAAGAGCATTCCGCAAGAGGCGGATTATTATTAAAAAAACATATGTAGTTTGAGAATGGAGGTAGAGGTAGTCACTGCAGCCTTCCGGTTACTTAGAACCAGCTGCACTTACATGTCCTTATTTAACTGACTCACAAACATGTGAAGATATGTATACTTCTTGCCGTGACATGCATCGCTTCAGAGGTCCAGGATATTAATCATGATTTGAATATATTCTCTAGGTCCTAGAGGTGTGTTGGAAAACGAACAGAATGGCTGGTTTTGCGACACACGGTGGTAAATCAATGCCGGACATGCGAGATGTTGTCAAGGCCCGTTAGGAGTGTGTGAACGAGTGCAGTCACAATTAGATCATCTCAGTCTGAATGAAGACTGGCTGTTAAAGATTTGGGAGGTGCGCTTATGAGAATGTCTCGAGTGCTGTAACGTCGGTTCTTGAAACTCTGCTATTTAAAAATTACTGATTCAATTGACGGATCTGATTCAAGAACCGACATCAAAGCACTTGGGGCATTCCATAAGCGCTACGTCCCCATCTTCAGCAGCCAGCGAAGAGTTCCGATACTAATAGTACCAGTAGCATTCTGATTAAACGTCCGTCTTGCCTTTCCTCTGAGCCTCAAGCATTTGCCAGAACTTCTCGTCATCTCTCCCCCCCCCCCCCCCCCACCCCCTTCCTCCCCCATCTCACTGTATTAATCTCATCAGACTGGTGATCCATCTGCTCCTTCGAACTGTACACGCTTTCCCACAAGGCCCTAACCACGGCTGCCTTATCATGCATCAGTATTCCACCAAGTTGTGCAGAGCCAGCCAGTCTGTCCGCCTCTTCATTTCCCACCACACCGGCATTCGCGGTGAAAAATTCCTAGACAATAATCTTCACCCGTGTCCTCTAGCACGAGGCATGCCACTCTGCACGAAGCATTCCTTTCCTGATCTTCCTCAGCATGCTTTCTGAGTCAGTTACAATCACGATGCGTTTAAAAAATACTGACACCGGATACCAGGACGACAGTCTAAATTAGACAAGGAAAACTCCTAAGTAAAAAGGCGATTAACCCTCTCTCACCGATTGGCGTATACAAAGTGCGGACCTAACTATGGGGCTACCAGCTTTTATACGTCATATACGTTACATAGTGAACCGCCGTGGTGTAGCGACTAGACGCTCGCCTGCATATCTGAAGGTCTGGCTTCGAACCGAACGGAGCCAGACTTTTTCAAATATCGCCTTGGTTCCCAACTCGACCCAGCCTAAAGTTGGCACCAGATAAAGTACTGGGAAATAAAAGGGGTCGGCGCAACGCTGACAACAACACTCACTGAGTACCCGATTGGTCTATGAAATTTAGGTCTAGCCCTATACGCCTATACGCCAAATACACATGAAGGCGTGAAAATGAGTTCTTTACTTTTACTTTACATAACAGAATGACAGTCTCATACAAGTAATATGCTGGAAGTAAAAGTCGATGGACAACAAATAAGATTGATTGGTTGTCGTTGAACCTCACTAGGACATCACACCGGGCGATAATCACCCGTTGACACAAAATGCCACCATTCGGGTGAGGATCACCTGGGAACAGTCCCAGAAACCCCGTTCAACCCATAGGTTGGGTTATACAAATAACGAAAAATGACCTCCCATATTGGGACGGCCTATGTGAGTATATAAACACTCAAGCAAATAAGTGGTAGACAACGATACAAGTGGAAACGGATCTTTACTTTATGTCTACTTTACAAATCACAAATAATAACAATACTTACCAGTTTTGAAATGCAGCTTTAGCTAAAGTTGACCCGGTAAATCGGTTGATAAATTCTCGTTCCACAATGTTACTGGTACAAGTCTCTGGGTTAAGTTATAGTGTATCGTCTATCTGTTGTCTGTGAGAATGAGTACCGGATTTCTTGTCCAGTGCTTTCTGGAGTTCCTTTTATACTCGAGAGCCCTAGATTACACCCGTTTTTCATAAAATGGTTGGCTGAGCATGTTCTGTAAAGAGTGAGCTGGAGAAATAGATGAGGATGTCCAAATTTAGATCGCTTGTCAATCAATGTCGGTGAGGAGAAGTGGTGAAAAACAATCTTGCGAATGCAGTATTCAATAAGTGAGTACATCTCGAACACGATACTGATTGTCATAAGGTAATCGTTTCGTCAATTTTATGTGCAGTAATACCAATGTTTAGTGAATTTATAAATGATTACAGAATTGACATCACTATACTCGTGACATTCCCACACGTGCTCAGTTCCATTCACTTTGAATATTCACGATCAAAGACAGCTCTAAATTGGTAAATAAAGAAGTTATGCTCCCCCCCCCCCCCCGCCCCAAAAAATAGATACAATTTATGCCATCTCCACAGTGAGGTTGGAGGCTGTAGGAAACATAGTTCTTAGTAGCGACACGTTATTTAGATACAGTTTTTTCCAGTCCTGCTATAAAAGAAACTTTGTGCTGAGTAGATATGTGAATACACGGACGCTGGAACTGGGAGCTCACACATTTTAAGCCCTTCAACTATAAGGAGGGTAAGAAGTCTAAAGACCCCCCCCCCCCCCCCCCCCCCCCCCCCCCCCCCCATGCATGGTTTTCTTGTTTAAAAAAAAAAAAAAAAACTATATTCACATCATCATCATCGTCACCAAAACACACTTAAATAATGCTTTGGTCTAATGAGCGCCCCTCCCCCTCATCATATAGGGCGAGCACGTTTCCACCCTATTTTTTTTCTCCTGAACCCTTTTATTTTCCTTGTATCATCGCCCCTTTGTGAATTCAGCGCTTCGTCTTCTCAGTCGTTTACATTTAAAAGGGGCGGTGTTGTGGTATACAGCTAGGAAGTTATATCTGTGCCTTTCAATCCCAACGCTGTTGATTACGCAGCTGTAGATTTCACTTCTGTTTAGGGACATTACTAAGGAGGTCTCAATTTCTCCAAGGGATCGACGTGAATCCCATACCACTATCCCATGGACACGAGAACAAGCTTTCGTCAACGGGCCTCCACATAAATCGAACACTGGTGGGTGGGTGCTCATAACCGAAAAACCTACTGAATACAGTAGTAGAGACAGAATCACCACCAATTGGTAACAACACTATGTCTAGGGAGGTCAACAAAGGGAAAATGTGCGCACAAAAACTGCTGAGCCTTTCAACGAAACGTCCTTTCCTCCAGTGGAATATTTCAGTCACAGTTCCTGAAGTGTTAATTGCAATCGTTACTATGCAGTATTATCATCCATTCATCCATCCACCCATTCATACCTCCATCTTTATATCCAGCCATCAAACATCCTCACATGCATGCATCCGTCCATGTAACCATCCATGCATCCCGAGTCTATCCACACATTTAACCATCAATTGTTCCATCCTTCAGTCCATCCATCCATCCTTCCATCCATGTATCCATTCATCAATTCCCCCAACCATTCATTAATCCATCCATACATACAACATACATGTGCCTCTTCCTGGCTACAAACCGGAAGTATGATTACCCTGAGATTGCAAAACTCTTGACTCTGGATGTCAGGCCAACAGGGGAGAAGAGAATCTTAGATACCTCGTTCAGTCTCCAGAAACGTTCTAGCTGAAGCCCTTATTACAACCATACATGC